GAATAAATTTTTTTTTCACCTTTTGGAAAGTGGGGTTGACATGCCTAAGCTTTAGGAAAGGGTCAAATCAAAGCATGGATCGCAAGGAGTTGACTTTAAGAAAGGATCTTATGAAGCCAATATAGATAGTCATTGATTGATTGCAAACAAGAAAGACTTCTAATCAAGGTTTAAAATTGCGTAAATAAGCCTCGAGGCGGTTTTCGTCCGTGAGGCGAGGCGTAAGCCTCGAGGCGGTCTGAGGTGAAAGCCTCACGGACGCAGAATTGCGTAAATGAGAATTTAAGGGTTTAAGCAGGTAAATAATAACAAAATTCTATCATACAATAAAAACATCTAAATGACAAGTGGAATTAGTGAAAATTAAGAAAAGAGATGCAATAAAAGCATGTTCCAAAGTAAGATGATGACATAATGGCAAGTCATCATAAGCCAAGATGACAAGTTGGCCCTAGATAAGACAATTTAATGTTGTCCCAAAGTAAGATGGCAAATCGTCCAAGGCTGAAACAATAGCAAGGTAGTAACAAGCAAGGGCATTGTACCTAATAGGTAAGGGTGTTCTTTAATCTCCTAGAGCAGGCAACCAAACCATTCCTCAATAGGGGTCCAAATTTAACATGCGAGAAACTTAGGAGCTTTCAAAGGGGTGGTTGGCCCTCCCTATAGCCACAAGATGGTGAGTAGAAAGAAGGTCACCAAGTAGAGGAGTTGGCGACAGCTTAGGAGAGGTTGAAAAGAACAAATTTCAAGAAAAAAAAAGGGGAAGGGTGATGGTGATTACACATGTTGCTATGAAAAGCTTGAGGAAGTCCCTTATGTTCTAGCATTTGACTTTTAAATACACATACGTCTTCTCGCCGCCTCCTATGTCAACTTGCACACTATATTTCCAAGAAGAGTCATGCCGCAATGACGTATTCGCCTTTTCCTTGCCTCTAACCATGTTTCCCAATGCAAAAATCCAAAAACACACAAAAAAAAAAATCAAAAAATAAAAAACCCTAGATTTTCTTTCACTTGAAAAATCTTACCATAAACTAAAAAAAAAACCTAAAATTGATTGTGGAGTACTCATAGAGGGCGGCCGGACACTTCAAGTTCGCCGGAGAGAGGCGGCGCCGGCGGGAGAGGTGGCGTGAAGGGTGGCCGAGGGTGCGAGAGCGTCTCTGGTTCGCGAACATAACTGCTAGAAGGGAAATTTTCGGAACACCTGGAACCCGTGCGGGATGAAGGGAAGAAGAGGCTTTATTTTAAGTAGGTGGGACCGGTTTGGTGAGGCGTACGCCTCACCTATAATTGCGCAATTGCGCCTCTGAGGCGCGCCTCAGACCAGGCCAGGCTTTTGGATTTATAAACCCCAAGATTTGGCCAGAAGGAGCCAAGGACGATGGGCAACATGAGACACTTTGGACAAGGAAAATTTCTTGAGCAACGTGTCCAAAAAAAAATCTCAAAAAAGGATGGGCCAAGGGAAGGATAAAAATTTTTTTCACCTTTTGGAAAGTGGGGTTGACATGCCTAAGCTTTAGGAAAAAGCATGGATCATAAGGAGTTGACTTTAAGAAAGGATCCTATGAAGCCAATATAGATAGTCATTGATTGATTGCAAACAAGAAAGACTTCTTGAGGGAAGTCATCAAGAAGGGAAACTTTTAAGATGAAATAGTTGAGAATGGAGAATTCTCCGGAGAAGTTGCTATGAAGGGAAATTTTTAAGGACAAGTCATCGAGAGAGAAGCCATAAAGAAGGGAGATATCTGAGAAGAAGGTGCTAAGAAGGGAGACTTCTTAAGAAAAATCACTATAAATGGAGATTTCTTGAGTTAAGCCATCAAGAATAGAGTCATCTTCATAAAAGTGAGACTTTTCAAGAGAAGTTGTCAATAAGGTTAGACTTCTCGAGAAAAGGACCCGATTATGGCCCTCCAACCACTATTGTCTGACTTCAATCCTCAGACAACCAACATTCAACTATGATTCTCTAATCTCGGTCACTCAACTACAGTCCTCAGACCATTATCGCTTGGTTACACTGAGATTGGCTGACTTTGTCACCTACCATCACTAACAACATCAACATATGTCATCACCCATAAGGACAATGCACACTATTGACATTAATGATCAAACAACAACAAATGATCTCCCCTCTTCGATGGAGAATGATCAAACAAACAACAACAACAAATGATCTATATTCATGCTAGACTTCTTGATCCTTTATCTCCCCACTTCGATGGAGAATGATCAAACAAACAACAAATGATCTCTTGAAGATAACCTATGTCGTAGTGCTCTTCTAACTTTCACCATAGAATTTGTTATGTGCAATTTATATTTGTTATGTTATATCAACACCTATTCCAATAACCAAAAAGGATATTGTAACCGACGACAAACACTAGTAGAATTATTTCAGTTCGGCCAAAACTTGTGGTTTCTCTTTTTTGGATTTTCAACGTAAAAACTTTGGTGTATCTTATGACTATTCCTTTGTTTGTCTATGTGCTAGACTTTCATGTAGATGTTAAAATGTTAAACTCTAATTTTATCATTGTGAATCTCCTAGCATGTAACAATCTTAAATTTGTCCAAGAGTTATGATGCCTTTTACGAAAATCCTAAAAATATTGAAAATCTCATATGGTACCCCAAAAAAATGCTTCTTACTCCTAAGATTGGGAAATACAAGATAAAGCTCTCCAAAGCTGTGTGATGCTCTATATCTGTTAATATAAAGGAAGGTGATAAAAACCTGAAGAAGGAATTTCATTCCATTAGGTATCTCTATGTAGTATGTAGCAAGAAAACATTTTCTTTTTTCATTCTCTTTAACTTAAGGAAAGAAACAACATGTCAATTTGATAAGTATAAATTAAGGTGATGAGAATTAGAAGAAGTACATTCCATTAGGGGACCCTAAGTGGCAAAAAACATTTCCTTTTCATACTCTTTAACATCTGAAAAGAAACAAAATTATAACACTTTTTCAAAAGCATGTCAAGATATTTATGTATATATTGAAACCAATAATATGACAGAAATACTTTTAGCGGACATATGTAATCAAGCCAGGCCAAGATAGTTAGAATAAGGATGATGCTGAGGATGATGATGGTCATATGCAATCTTGAATTGCCGCAAAAACCAAAAAAATTATCTTCATAGAACATCATAACAATCAAATACTGCAACCTCTGAAGCATTTGTTAAAATACATATTTGGATTAAAACAATTTGAGCAGCATATATACACATAAGAAGCATATATATAGATACTTGAGTGCAAACATGTAGACAAATGTAGATTCATGCTGAGGCGCACCTCGCCCAGTCCCTAAAAGCACAAAGGAAATATAAAAAAACCAGCATAAGCACAGCACGCATGCTTCCTGCCTTGGTTTCAAAAGAATGCCAATCATATGCTAATTGGATCCTTTCACCCACTCATAAAGGTAAATGTTAAAATGAGTACAACAACAACAACATCAAGCCTTTGTCTCACTACGTGGGGTCGGCTAGATGAATCCTTTTTCGCCATTGTGTCCTATTAAAAGTCAAATTCTCATTTAAATATAATAAAGAAAGATCACTTCTAATATTTTCTTACCAAGTCTTTTTAGGTCTATCTCTATCTTTTTTTAACAAAAATCAAATCTAATACCTCAACTTTCCTAACCGGATCATCGGAAGGCCTCCGTTTAATGTGACCAAACCATCTAAGGCGACTCTCTCTAATCTTATCATCCACTGGAGCTACTCCAACCTTTTCACGTATATGTAAATGTTAAAATGAGTATTGGAAAAAAATCATGATGAAATTAAATTATTGGATGCTAATTTTGTAATCATGAATAACTAAAAAAGATGCTTGAGAAGGCTGATTCACCTAGCGTGAAAAAACAAGATTTCTGGGAAGAGTTATGACTTTCTGTGACACCAGGACAATCTTCATGGTTACTTAAGCTCCAAAATGCACGAAAAGCTATTCATTAGATGGTTTATGATATGTTCTTTGTTAGGATGCAAAGGAGGTGGCCCATTTGTTTAAGAGTTTACAGAAATATCTTAAACAGAGGTGTTGCTTATTTGCTACTTGCTACAAGTAGTTAGAGGCTGTTGGTAATATCTCCTCTCATCTAGGGTTTGCTGCAACCATATGAAGAACTTAATGCATAACTATTTTAGCCACTCTTCGAAAAATAGCCTGGCAGCTGAAAGTGTCATTTTTTTTATCAGAAAGACAGTTATAATTCATATAATGCTAATCTATAAGAGTTAAAGATCCCATTTTCAAAATCACAAAGGATCGAAGCCTGTGGAAAAAAAAGATGTGGCTGCTGGTCATTTACAAAATAAATGTATATGCGGAAAAATTTACGTCTCTAAGCATTTGTTTGGGATGGCTTTTTTATTGCTTCTTAAAGCAGTTTTTAGTAAAAAAAAATATATTTTTTTTATTTTTTTTACTAAAAACTGCTTTAAGAAGCAGTAAGAAAGCCGTCCCAAATGAAGCCTAAGTATGGATGCATAACTTATTTACCCTAGATGGATGTTTGACTTAAAATACACATGTTCCTTCACTGGATTTCTCATTAAGCTTCTGAAAAAATGGTTAAGAAAAATTAAAGTGGTGTGTATGTAAATCCCAAAATTAAAACTTCCTATGAGGAAAAAAAAAGTATTGAATTTTAGCATTTTGCATTATGCCTTAAACCTACTCATAAATTTTACTTTGCAATGCAAGGATCCATCAAAAAGTTCAGATCAGGTAACGTATTCAAAATTCTACACATTCAATAAGCAACAAACTTCACCATCAAACCATCCCAACAATGCAAAGTCACAAACTGATTATCTGGAATCCAATAGTCCACCAAAATGTCATCATTTTGCATTCAATCATCAAGGATTCATCTACAATGGAACTCCAGCTAAAAAAATCCACTTTTTTCAAAAAGAACGCGTAGCAAATCAAGAAACAAAGCTAGCATTACCTGTGAGGAAATGTCAAGTACTTGGTCATCGGCACAGTAACAATATTTCTCCGCGCATTGGTCGACGACTTGACAATTGCATCCACCACCTCCTTGGCCTTCCCGACCCCAACCCCCACCTGCCCCTCCTTGTTCCCCACCACAACAATCGCCCGAAACGACATCTTCTTCCCTCCCTTCACCACTTTGGTCACCCTTCTCACCTGCACCACTCTCTCTTCGAACCCATCAGTCACCTTTTCCCTCTTCTTTCTCCCTAGAAGACTGCTGGTCTTTTTCAATTTGGAGTCCATGACATAAATGTCATTCCCGAGCACACTCTCTCCGCTGTAGGCCGGCCCGTATATCTCCTCGTACGCGACGGCAATCTCCTCCTCAGTTTCCGGAGGTAGCTCGTCGAACGCCGGTGGGGGCACGTAACCCTCAGGCCGTTCCGGGGGGTCGAAGTTGACAACTTCACTTGGTTCAACGTTGTAGAAGAAAGTGGTTTCTAGGTCCCCCTTGGACGCTGTGGCGGATGGCGGCTGAGTCGTTGCGTATAGGCGGAGGGGAGTGGGCCTGAAGTTTAGGGGTCTGAGGAGGAAGGAGGAGGTAGGGGGTATGGAGGCGAAGTAGGAAGAGGAGGAGAAGGACCGATAGGAGCGGAGAGACAGAAAGCTCATGGAGGAGAGAGACATAGCAGAAGCCATGGCTTCGAGCTTCCGGTGCAATTGGACCAAGAGTGGAGAAGGGCAGCCAGAGGGATTTTATCGCTTTCTAATCTTGTCACAAATGATTACGCTCGGATTTGCTTAGAGGATGTTCGCTTAGCGAGCTGACTTGATATGGACTCAGTAAAAAGCTCTATGAGTTGAGTTTATCGAGCTCATGAGTCGAGCTCAAATATGATTTTGAGCTCGACAGCTTATCAAGTTCAAGTTCAAACAACCCATTGCTCGATGAGCTCAAGCTCGTCGAGCGGCTTGAGTATGAAATAGGTAGTCAGAAAATGCAATTGCGCCTGGGAAAAGCTGGCAACGACCTAAGCTGGGAACGACGCAAGCTGGACGGAAGCTCGACGGTCGATGACTCATGCTCGACGGATGCGGATGGTCGATGACGCAAGCTCGACGGACGCAGACGGAACCTCGACGACACAAGCTGTCGACGAGACAGACGCTAGCAAAGGCGTGTACGAAAGCTCAACGGACGGACTAAGCTCGAAATGCCTCTCGAACAGCTTGATGAGTTTTTTTTTTTTTTCCTTTGTTGATTCGAGCTCGACTTGAGTTCAATCTCAAGCTCGATATTTGACAGTCGAGCTCAAGTCTAGAGCTCAACTCGAACACCCCCTGACTCGAGCTCGACTCGACTCATTTGCACCCCTAGTGCGGATACATAGCTCTACTTTCGTACGCTAATAGATTACTGACACGTGGATATTTAATATTGATATTATTTTTCTAATGGACCAGATCGAGACAATCTTTTTAACCTTTTTTTTTTTTTAAGAAACTCACAAAAGTGCCCAAGTATTTAGGATTTTGGTGTGTGGCTTAATATCACATTTTTCCTATTGAGAAAAGAAAAAACGAGAAACATGCGAGGAAAATGGAATCTGATTTGAAGGACATTGCATTCGTCGAGGAGATGAAAGGAGATATTCAAAACATCCATTGAGAGTTGCTGCAGCCAACAATGGGAGAAAGACTAGGGTAATTATCAATAAAATTTAAACTCATCATAAGTTTTACTATTTATTACTATTATTTTTAATGGTGTATTCTTCAATTATTTATGTGTCAGATGCCTCTAAGAAGTATGATTTTGTTATGTAAGGATGATTTTAATGTAAATATCAATTATTTATGTGTGGATGTTGTGAAGAAGCATGATTTTGTAAGATTTTAATATAAATATATAGTTTTTTAGGGTTTAGGATGTATTCTTCGAATTATGGGTAATTGTAAAATTATATTTGAAAATTGTATTTTTCCTAATACACACTGTGTATTGTTATGTATTTAGTTGTGTGTTGCTCTGTACTGATGCATATTGCTATGTATTGTTGTATATTGATGTGTACTTGTGTATATTGCTATGTACTGCTGGGTATTCAGATGTGTATTATTGTATATTTATATTATTGTGTAATGTTGTATATTGAGTTATATATTATTGTGTACTACTGGGTATTCAGCTGTGTACTATTCTGTATTTGTATTGATGTATACTATTGTGTACTAAACTATGTGTTAATGTGTATTTAGTTATGTATTACTGTGTACCGCTATATATTGAATTATGTACTACTATGTATTTAGCTGTATATTGTTGTGTATTGATGTACTTAGCTGTGTATTGGTGTGTATTGCTAGGTACTGAGATGTGTGATGTTGTGTGTTGATATGTATTTAGTTATGTATTGAACTGTGTATTATTGTGTATTAATGTGTATTGAGTTGTGTATTGATATGCATTGTTATGTTGCATTGTTGTGTATTGATGGGTGTTGAGTTGTGCACTATTGTGTATTGTTGTGTATTTTATTCTATATTGCAATGTATTGTTATGTATTTAGGTAGCTAGTTTTTGCTTGTACATAGGGTATTTTAAATTATAAGAAGTAAGCATATGATATGTACTACAGTTATGCTCATATTATTGATTTTAGTATTCACAAAGAACATCACATTTGCAGACCAAATTCTTTAAAAATAAGATCTTAGGAATATGTTTGCTTAAAAGCTGGTTTCAAAAAGGGTTTTGACTTTAATTCTCAATCAAAATATTAGAAATCACACTAGAACATTGTGTTCCACTATGATTAGATTTATGATTGCTAAAAGCTTGTATCATGACAATACACATCAATACACAGTAGTACCCAACAATACCCACTTTCTATTATGCAGAAAAAAAAACCCTAAACCCTAACAACTCTTTCAAATAAACCATTTACAAATCAAATAGATTTGGCATTTTAACATATCGAGTGATGTAGAACTGCTCTGGAGATAAATCTGACCTTAACTCCTGTTTGGAAGAATAGCAAATGCTGACACTTTTGGTTTGCCGTAAGACGGTGAAAGGTTCAACATCCGGACATATTAATTTCCCAACTAGAAGACTCGATCCTTATGCGAAGATGAAGAGCCGCCTAAACTGAGAGCAAAGAGCTAAAAGATTGATCCAGGAATCGAAAATGAAACATCAGAATGCCGCGACTTTTGGTATGTACAAATTTTAAAATTTTCACGGACCAGGTTTTTCACCTTTGGACCAGTGGATTGGGTTGGTTCGTCGGGCCACATGTTTCAGCATTCTATTGGAGTCTAGATGTAGAGCTACGTCCGAGGTCCACACAAAATAATTTCTCAAAAAAAGGAATGCATTCTAAAAGTAATGAAAAAACAGTGTAAAAAAATTTTAGAGCTGGAGTTTTGACTAGCACTTTGACTTAATTTGAATAAATATTTTAAAAAAATGGAGTTTTTTGCATAGATGAAAAGTAAATGCAAGTAAATGTTATTTTGTTTGACTTGAAATAAAATGTATGTAGTGTAAAATTCAAAGATGATAGCGGCCGCAGGTGGCGGTGGTGGCCAACTGTGATGACAAGTGGTGGTAGCCCATTGTGATGGCCAATGGTGGCCGGCAACGGACGGCTACTAGTTGCGGCCAATGGTGGTGTGGGCCATCAAAGACTGGTATTAGCAAAGACTAGTGATGGCCGACGATGGTGGACTACTATGGGTGGCGACGAGCGACGGCGATCTAACTTGCTTGCTTGTGATGTAAATAATTTTCACTCAAAATTGAACGAGTTTAATTTATCTCAAAAGTGAACTAAAATGATCTACAATGTTTTTACTTTATATACTTTGTATTTCTTTTTCATTTAAGCAAGCATCAAAATTTTTAAAACCCCGACAAAAAAAACTGTGATCATCAATTTTATTGTTTTTAAAATGGACACTCCACTAGATTTTATTTGTTTACATTTATAATATCTAAAATTTTATATTTATTTAATACCTTTTAATATTTAAATATTTAATATATACATTTTATTCATTTATTTATTTAAAATGAAATATATTTTCACATTAATATTGAAAATTTTAAAAATTAAATAATATTATATTATATAAGTAAATATAAAAAATCTGTTTATAAATATATATAAATTTAGAGACGTAATATTATTTTTAAATTACTTTGATACAATTATTTTAAATCATTTAAAATAAAATTGAATGATTAACGTCTATAACGGCACAAAATATAATCATCCAGATCTTTTAAATTACTTGTGAAAATATTAATAAATTTTTATGTAATTTTTCTTTAAACATTGATTAATAAAGTATCAATTAAACAATATATATACTAATATTTAAAATTATATAGCCTAATAATAAAATAAATTAAAACACCAAATATAAAATCTAAAATAAAATACATTTACATGCCCTCCACTATACCAGCACTTACATTGAACAAGCTGCTCCATCAAAATTTTCAATATTAACATCCCATTGCTCAAAAACAAAATTTTTTTATTGAAAAAAGAGAATATCTAGAATATTCTTTTTTGGTATTGTAAAATATAATTTAGTTCGAGAATGAGTCACTGTATTTTCGAGTGGACAATAAATTTTTCGGTCGGAGATGCCCTAACAATTCCCAACTCACGTAGAAATTATTATGTAGGGTTAACGGACGCCGTCCGGAGGCAAATCAGTACATGCCACATCATCATTTTATTATATGCCGGATGACATGGCGCATCTTAATTCGCCTACAGCCAATCCGGTGGCCGCACTTAACAAGATGCAAAACCACCTAAGTAAATTTACACAAAGCAAATCATAATCTCCATACATCTAAATATCATTAATCCCAATTTGTTACAAAAATAACATTGGAATGAAGAAAATAACAAAAAAATAAGGTAATTAGATAAATTTGAGAAACTCCAGATATATATTAGAAAAAAAAAAAGAAATAGAAGAGACAGAAACCATAACTCAATTTATTTATTACACCACAAAGTTCCCTAAAGAGAAAAATTTATAGAAATACCAAGACTTCATAAACCTATGAATTACCTATGAATTACAATAACTCGCAGCTTGTTAATCTAACCCTAATCTGCCGATTACATTTATTAACCCTAACAAAATTTGTTCAATTCATGAATCAAACAAAGCTCATGCATTGTGAAATATTTCTTTAAATACCCTCTTCATGATATTACATACCTCAAATTTGGATAATTTAGCTGCATATAGCAAATCCAATCTGCCATTAAACCAAAATGCTTTACTCATCTTCCTGGTTATGTCTTCTTTCCAGGTCACACTCGAAACACCTGTAAAGTAAGGTTTTGTTTGGGACGGCTTTCTAAATGATTTCTAAAAGAGCTTTTTAGTTCAAAACTTTATTAAACTGCCAGTTTTGGAACTAGAAAATGGCTTTAAAAAACAGTAAGAAACCCGTCCCAAACAAAGTCTAAGCAAGATGACAATATAAAGCGAATTTGCGTTCCTCTTTACCATTACACTGAAGCATTTTCTTCAATTTCATTGTGAAGATGACTTTTTCACTCCATTCTGTAATTATGCTGGAAGTAGAAAATATCTTAGTGGCAGTAAAGCTTAATTACTGAATCAGCACCGGCAGTAAACAACCAGGGTTGCCTTGGGTGAAATTTGCAATCCAATACTCCTGCATTCGTATGAAAGCTATAGATCAGGCAACCACTCATATTATTATTTATAAGCACTTGACTGAAAGATAAATGGTGTTTTTATGAAAATATGAAGAGTTAGAAACTGAAAAGATTTAATAATCAAACAAATTTGCAAGCATATTTAGTATAAAATGCAGTTAATAACAAAATAATTTAATCATCAAACAAAATTTTAAAACATATGATATTGTTTTATGTATTTTAGATGAGTACTGAAATTTTATTTAATTGTGAAAATTAAATTCTACAAACTTACAATAAGTACAATTAAACTCGGATGAATTTTAAGGGGCAATTTGGTAGCAAGATTTAAGTCAGATTTGAGGTGGATTTGAGCGAAATCCAGCCAAACGGCCTAAAATGCAAAATCAAATATCATGGCAAATGAAAGCCACCATAGACGGAAAATTCCACCTTTTCCTGCTAAATCCCGGATTTCCGAAATCCTATTTTTTGCCGGATTTACGAAATTCATTAGCTTTAGAGGAAGAGTCCGCTCATTAAATCCGCTCTATAGTCAAACACTTACACTGAATTTAATAGGATTTATCATGAATGTTACCAAACAGTTTTCAGGATTTCTGAAATCCAAATTTAGAGGATTTACGAAATCCTACTTTAAATCAAATCCTGGGTGCTACCAAATAGCACCTAAGGGTCATCTTTTCTAATCACATTAAGAATCATTAATGAAGTTGTATCTTCAATTAATCATATTTAGTAAATATGGCTAATGAACATTTCTGCTCTTAGGAGTGACTATTTTCCTCATTTTGTATAAAATCTTCAAACTCAGTATCATATCATTGATTATAGTTAAATCAATTTTAGTGATGATTGGCAATTCATTAAATATGAAATAATCATGGGACGGAAAATAGAAGCCTTCTTAATATTATAATTTTTTGCATATATTTCACCAATTAAAATTTTCTTAATACCAGGCAATCGGAGCAATCCATCATAAAAGTTCGTTGAATCCATTATGTCAATTAAACTATTTAAAAATTTATTGAAATTCATCATACCAACTTGACCTTGCTTTTAATATATCAAAATCTAGGACTGTATATAAATTATTCTACTTAAAAACGGAGAATATATATATGGACTTTTCTTAGAAGAAGAATGAAAATTCTCCTCCCAATCATCTTGACCCTTAATTGTGATTTACAACATAAGAATCGCAAGTGAAATTAGTTCAATAAGCCATGCAATTTGACCCCAACCCATTTGAAAGTCTCTACATTCAGAAATCCAAATTAAGTTATACGCAATTGGGGCCTCCCATCGTGAAAATTTTGATCCATTTAGTTGATAAAATGAGGATCAAACTAATTTAAAATTTTTAAAATCATGAATGACACTAAATTTAAAGATGTCAAAGAGTAGCCAATCAAAATAAACCTTTGCAGGAGAAAGATACTGAAGGAAAATGAGCTTCTCCTTCTATAAAGATAGTAATCGCTCCTCACTCTCACTACGACTGACATTTCCACATCAACCTGAACATTAACTTACAAAAAAATTATTAAAATACATGCAAAATACTTACTAATCAAAACCAATTTGACTAAACAATTTGCTTTTGTTTGACATTTTTCTAAACTGAATTATTTGGTTTGGTTAGAGTTAGAATTTTGTCACTGAATAAACCAAATTAAATCGATCAGATATATTATATGAAAGAAAACATGTATATTTTCATATGCTAACAACTAATTCTTATTATCATTTAATTAAGGGTATAGTGAAGCCGTAAACCTTAGTTATTTAGGCTTTAAATCCATTCTTCGCTCATTTTATTCTTCATAAGTAATACCTGGACTATAATAAAAACATCTCGAGCTTAACCACTCATCATTACAACTTGCACCATTATCTCAATCTTTTCTTGCAAACAAATCCTTTTTCACTGGAAGTGATACCGATAGAGATCTATAAGTTTATGCTCATCGAAATTGTCAAGCACTTAAAAAATTGTAAAGCACATTAGTTTTGTTATTTAATAATTCTTTTATTTGTATTTTTCAATTTAAATTTATTTGAAACATGCTCGTGATGATATGATTAACGAAAACATGATGGTTTGGTTTAATTTATATATATATATATATATATATATATATTTTTTTTTTTTTTTTTTTTTTTTTTTTTTCATTTGGAATAGTTTTTTTAATGTTTTTATTTTTTTTTTATATATTTTTTATATTTTTAATTTTTTTTTTTTTTTTTTTTTTTTTTTTGCTAAGGTTATAGTTAGTTGAAGTATTATTCCTTCTACCAGCATTTTGTTATTGTCGATTTTGATTATTGATGGTTTATGATGGATATCTATGGTTGTGGCACTATTCCTAAAAACAAGTTTTAAATTTTTTATCCACTCAAGTATTCATGCTGCCATCCTGTGGATTTATTATGCTCACCACGTTGTTGTTCTCAAGATAATTTAAGCAACTATAATTGAATTTTTGGTTAGAAATTGATTACAAGAAATAGAGACAACCGAATATGGATGCAAGGTTTATAGACAGAATTCTGAGAAATTTAAAAACTTTGGTTTGATAAAATTCTATACGCTCTTATAACTTGTATATGCTTATTTAATGTTGAATTCTTTGTAAAGTGGTAAAAATGCGATTGGTAATTTAAAGGGAAGTTGCCTTTTTAAACCAAGGTGAGGTCTGAGTTTGCTACTTTGCTCCTTTTGGTTTAATTCTTAACTAATTCAATTTCAACACTATAATTTGATTAGTATGAGAGTGTGACTATTTTATGTCAAAAAAAAGCAAGTACAATTGACTTTTCTAACTACTCATAAGTCTAGCTCCCATCTTTGACAAGATTGTGATTTTTTAATATTAAGAAAATTTTCAAATTTAGAAAATAAACAAATTATCATTAAAAAAAATGATTTCTCATATTTTTCCAGTTTACATCAAAAGGAGGCATTGATTGTTTTAATTGGGGGTCTATTAAATTATGAATTCTCAATTCAGTTCGTGTGAATTTTATTTATCACAACATCTAGTGGGGGAAGATCTGTCTGCATCCAATACCGTGACATGTAGTTAGCTGGTGGGTTTCTTTTTAAATCATGCACTATCTCTATTGCTGATTTACAACCTGAAAGTGTTATACTAATGATGCATTGATACTCTAAGAATCTTTCATTTCCTGATGATATATCAAAGACCTTTATTGAAGAAGAGCTAATTCAGCATTTACTCAATACCCGCTGCTTCACCAATTTGCTGGTAATCACATTTTAACAGTTGCAAAATATCATTTTGTCTTAATATTTTATCACAATTCCCTCTAAAGATTTCTTTTCTGAGAAAGTAGTCGTCTCAAATCCTAAATAGTAATGATGTTTATAAAACAAAGAGAAATAAATTGAAACCGAAAGAGAAAATCATTAAGATTATGTTTCTAAGTCAAAAATCAATCCTTAACAGAACTGGACATGATAGTTTGGTATGGTTTGGTTAATCATAATGGTGAATTGATTTTGGTTTCAGAGTTGGTTAATAGGTTTGGTTTGATTTGGTTAGGTTTAAAATATTGATTGGTCTAGAACCACCCGAATAATGCAAACCCACAAAATAGATATCCTTTAATAAGCAAAAGTACATCGTCAAAAGAATGCTTACCTCCATATTTTGAGCTAGCATGACCACGGAGAATTTCCAAAGGGACAATAAGAGGATTCTGGTTAAGATCTGAATAAACCATTCCATGAAACACATATGCTGTGCAATCTTCAGAACTCGAGGCAAACAGAGGGTATGAACGATGAAAGGCAACATTTGTTATATCCTTTGGGTGCGTTCTGCAAATATTCAGAATAAAATATGAAACAACAGAAACAGGAAGCTATAAATGAAATCATTAATGCTAGAGAGCTATTCATGAAAGAAATGAGACAAATTGAAATTTGCATGCTTTTTATTTTGGTTTTAATCCCTATAGTTAAACAAGATCAACCAAAGGACTACTAGCTGCAATAAAAATAGTGGCCTATTAGTTGCAAGCAAGTAGTTTTCATATAACCTCAACCTATCCAAAGAATTCAACAATTTGCTTAAATGGTCAACAAAATAGATCATCAAACCATAGTTAATAGCAAACTTTTGAACATCAAATCTTATGTATACTTATTGTTGGGTTGTTAGAAGAATCAAGAGATTTGTTTATTAATTGAAATATAGAGAGAATCATGTGAAATATAAATTAGAAAAGGTAATACAAAACATGTGAAATATATAAAAGATTAATAGAAGTAAAGACTTTTTGTAAGCCTCGTCTCTATAAGAGGAGATAAACTCTCCTAAAATGCCTTAAATTGTGCATGAGATCACGGATTAAAATCCTAAAATAGATGAAGAAGAATTCACAATAAGAACATTATTCACAACACGAAATATCTTATATGAATCAAAATTCTGATAGTTAATGAGAAATTAAAAACTACTAAGAAGCTAGCAAACTGCTAGCAGACTAAAAAACTACAAACAAAAAAATTTAATAACATTAATTAGAGCAATCTTAATTAAATATTAAAATCTTTAAACATTTATGATAACTCTAATATTCATGTTAAACAAAGCCTAAGAAAAATCAGAATTTATGTTTGCATCAATCCCCCTATTTGCAAAATGCTCTTACCCCAAAGAGTGCTATTGATAATATACTTATATACCCGAGGTTAAAAATCATGCTCCATCAGATATAGATCATCGAGATGATACTTCTAAAGGACTAAAAGACAAAAAGATCTTGAAGAAATACGAGCAAACTCATCCAAAAGTAGTGTAAGAATCATATGCATTGAATCGTCGAACAAAATTGAACCATGATATTGTATATGCCTTCAAAGAAGTTGATTTAAATCCCTCTAGTAGAAGATTAGATGCACTGTAGAAGAAAATGGATTGCCTGGAAAGAAATTTACAGTTGATTTATAAAAAACACTTAATTCTTTTTTCTTCTTCTCGTTCCCTTTTCATCTTAGGATTTTTCTCTGGTTTATCTTTATAGCAAGATAAGGTTAGTCAAAATAGTAGTTTGAGAGGTTTAAATTTTGAAGTTTTATTGCTAGTTTGATGGAAGAAATCTAAATCTAGGAGACTTTTGTGATAAGATAAAGAATTGCATTTTTTTATCACTTTTATTTTAATCAAATACAACAAGCTAAACTAAATTCGCTCCATCCTTTCTATTGGGACATCAAAATATAAAGAAAATAAACTAATTAAATTTACTGATTATTTCTATTATTCTTAACTAACTACATAGGCTATTCTTTTAATTATGCTTATTTAGTTACTTCTTTTGTTGCTGCCTATCATCATCACCACCATCAACAATAACTTTAAACCAACTATTTGAGGTAGGCCACATGAATCCTCATTTTCATTCATTCTTCCAATTGGTTGAGAGTGTTATGATATTCTATCTGTCTACACATTTCCACACCTCTATTAGAATATCAACAGGTCCAATAGCTCCATCGTAATTGCAAGCAATAAAGCAGATTATTAATTGAATGTAATCATAGAAGAAAATGCTATAGATGCAATCTAAAAAGTGCAAACATCATGATTCATCGTATCACAATGTTAGCATGCAACTTAAGGAAGACAACGTTATCATATAAAAAACATGTTCATAAAATAAATTCAAAATAATGCGAGTAGCATTTTCTCATGACCTTCAAGACAGATGGTAGAGGAAATGAAGCTAAATTTGGCAAATTTATGTGGACAGCAACTTCAAAATGAAGAACACGCATCAATATGAACAAATATGAACTTAATTTGGTTTCCAAAATCCAATATCTAAACCAAACAAAAAATAAGCCAGTTCATGCAATACATGAAATTTAAACTGCACCAAAAGTATCAATCAGTTTTACTTTTAGATTTAATATTCTGGGAACAACAAAACAAAATCAATCCAAATCAGCCTTCACTGAACATTAGTAAACTGGTAAAGCAGTGAGGTATTAATCAAACATTCAAAAAATTTAACCATCTGCATCATTTCCTCTATCGCTCAGCACCCAAATATAGCTTTTTGATATCTCAAAAAATCTAGCAATTTAAGCCAAGAAGAAGGCAAAACAAATAAATCGAATAATTAGAGGCCATGAAAAACAGAACATTTTCCTAATAATCATGGTAAATTCGAAAGATGCATATGGATCATAAATTACGAGTATAAACAAGGTGCACCAAAGGCTCTACATACTTCAAGATTTTGTAGGGTCGAGAGGAGAGATCCATGTCAAACCAACACATCTTTCCCTCCTTGCTTCCAACAATGAGATTATCACCTAGAACAAAAAATAAGATTACCAAGTTGAATTTGTAGAATTTATATATAGTTATGCATACACATACATACTTACGTACATATTATTATTATATATATATAAACTTTCAAACTCCATACAATTAGTTTTTTATATTATTATGTTTATATATAAGATCAAGGTCATTGATGTAGATCTATAGTTTAATAACTTGGTAATCTAATTAGATCGTTTTTTTAAGACACATGACAATTAATCAAAATTGATGATAAAGTGACGGGTGATGCTACTCAATCAAAGCACCACTTCTCTTTATTTATATCTTTTTTTTAATCAAATCTAGTGAATTTGTCCTTGATGCCATTCCATACATTTTCAAAAAGAAAAACCACTTGATTAGGATATTCCAACAAATTTATAACCATCTAGCTCACTATCAAGACCCTCCATTAGAGTATTATCTTTGCATGTTTGATGCATAGCTAAATCAATTTTGAAATTTCATGGAATTTGATTTCCCGCCATTCTTATAGTTTTGATTAGGATGAACTATTTTGGCTTAACCAACGGGACGTTCGAAGACTAAAAAACAAGAAAAAAATAATAATAATATGGAAAGAGCTCCAACCAAAGAAAAAAATACTAGAATAGCATATGTGTATGAAAGAAAGAGAGGGTGTGTGTATGTGTGTATGTGTGTATGTTCTAAAGTAGATGAACATCATGTACCGCCAGGATGAACTGCAACAGATGATACTTCCTGCAATCCGGTCTCAAGCTTATTAATTAGCTTTGATTTCAGAAGATCATAAATACGGATATGATTCTTTGTGGAGATAAAGAAAATCGATCTTGTAGGATGGAAAACAGCTGAAACTGCAAGTCCCCGCAGCTTCTTGAAAGGATTATGTGTTTGCTTTTTAGAAAGTTGGTGCAACAATACAGCTTTTGTATCACGTGAACACTGGGTTAAGGTTTACATCAAGAGCAGAAAGATATCCAAAAGTATTTCTTCTAAAAAAGCACGCAAATCAATATTTGTCTGAATGGTCTTGGCACTCAAACACAAAAATGTAGCTATAGAATACATCAAGCCTCTCAGGGAGGCTTTTAAAAAACTCCCAGTTTGAATTATTACATGCAACACTAAAGGAACAAGCCAATAGTCCAAACATTACATTTAACAAACTTTACATTTCAGCAATTATATTTAATTTAAGCATTTCTTCTATAGAAAATAAAATATGATAATTTATTCAATTACAAGTTCAACATGCATCATCTGTGTTACAGCTAGGAACCTCATGAATCACCATCTTCTTTGGAAATCAAAATATAAGTAGAACTACTCCCATCAACAACCCAAGGATATCTCTTGGCATGATCGTTGGAAAATATGATATAAGCCTACTACGCTTTTGAAAACGCTCTCACAATGTTCATAAGACCAAAAATTGGTAAATTGTCTAAAAATTTAAACTTTTCAAGCCATCAATAAAAGAACATGATTCATTTAGAGCAGCGCATGTATGAAAAGAAAATTGGCAAATGGGTAAAAAAAAGACGTCCTAAGGATATCTTTTGGCATGACCGTCGTGAAATAGTCTCCTTTTCGATGCCACTCAACATTGGCTACTGCCTACAAAGAAAAACAAAAGAAGAAATGATGTTTATTTTACATGTAAGCATCATCAAATACAAATAATAAAAATAGGGGGAAAAACATAACTAAATCTACCTTAGTATGCTTAAGACGGATGCCACCGTACATTTCTTCTCTGGCCCAGCTCACAAGATCTGTATAACACCTCAAGTCATCAGTAGTGAGCCAAATGATATTCAGTAGATCTAAACTGTTCAAAGATAATGAGAATCACAGACCTCTATCATCCGTTGATGCCGATTCCTCCACATGGAGAAGTTCAGTAATTCTATGCTGCTCTTCAGCATCTCCAAGCCCTGTGTCCAAAAGAAGCACATCATGCCCCCTGCAGAGTATTTTAAAAATGATTACAAGAATGTAGGTCTAGTTTCATAAAAGTAAAGCACTCAAAGAGACACATTAACTTACGCCGATGCTGCCAAAATAGGAAGCTGAGGCAAAGGATTCCATGCAACATGATTTACAGGTTGGCCAACTTCCCAAACTTTAAGGCAGCGACCGGTTTCAACCTCCCAAAGCCGTATGGTTCCATCGGTCGAACCTTAATGAAAGAACACCAAAAGTGAAAATGCACATGCATGAAATGAAAGTAAACATCATTACAAACAATAGAGACAACTAAACACGAACCAGATGCTAACCACTGCCCTGATATTTCAACTGAAACTGATTTTACAGGACCACTGTGACCTAAATATTCAAGATAGCATTTCGATGGATAAGGCTTCAGATCTTTCCTGCTTGGTAGCTTTGGTTTCAAAGATTCAGGATCAATATTAATCTGCAAAATAAAAGCTCACTTTACATTCCTGTAAGAATCTCTTCCAAAACTGCAAGAATTATGAAAAGAAAAAAGTTAATCAGAATTCACTAAGCAGATTGATGAACTCTCTAAATTACTCGTTTCTTTCTTGTTCTAGGGCACAAGTATAAATCTAAGCAACGATCAAATCCTTCTTTAAGAGCATTCTCATAAGCAGGCACATTCCTAAGAGACTCGTATCTGTTAAAAATGAATCACACAGATTAGCATGTTCTGCTCTAGCATTGAAGAAGTTATATTAGCCCATGCAAAGAAGAAAGCTGATGAATACCTCTTAGGAATAAACTTGGGACGATCTTCCTCATACATCAGTTGGTACGAGTTTATCTCCTCTTGAGTAGGGATGTACTCTAATGATGGATTATATGATTCCTCATGGCCTGGGAATGAAGAACATTAAACAAAATTTGATTTACTACAGTTCTGTCCATTAAAAGGCCCAAAAAGAAACCAATGTCATATTTTCATTTGTTTATGAATGTCTTAATATACTTTATAAAATTACCTGCGAGCTTGGGTTTGGGTGCAGGAATATATTTCAAACCTTGCCTCTTACTTTCAGCAGAAGTAGAATCATCTCCCCACAACAAATAATGGCGGGGCTCCTCCTCTGGTTTTTCAAACTTGATCCAACCTTTACGAATTGCTCTAATATATTTAACAACCTTCATGAAACCACAGAAAAAACTAAAAAGCTGTTTTAAATCTTTCCTACTCAAGAAAAAAATGGTACTTGGTCATCGATTTTCAACACGTTTTGTGAGCAAGAAATCTGTATAATTAATAAATCAACTAATTATGCTAAAAGAGTCGAGGAAAAGAATATCCACAACTAAGCTTCTAAAAAAGGAATACAGATAATCACAACCGAATAGCAGATTTCAATCAACAATTTACAAGTCAATTCACAAGTTGACAATCACTTGATCAAAAGTTTTACAATGCAAATATGCTCCCACTTTAGGAATTGCACTTTTAATTGATAAACGTTTGAAGATAGTCTATATATTCTAGCGGTGTCAACGAGCTTATTTAGTAAACATCTTAGAAGTTATATTCAGCGTCCTTAGATTGAATCCCACCTACATTAAATTTGTGATTCAACACTCAACTTTTCCAAAAAAAAGTGTACACATGTAGAGTAATGAATTGAGGAACCAATAGTTAGGTTCAAAATAAGAGAATTATCCAACAGGGTATCGAGGCAAAGATTTAAGAGATTATAAGCTATTACAACACAAAACATCAAATGTGCTTTGTAAGAATGATCAGTCAATGGCTACTGAAGACAATGACAAAGAAGTCAGGACAAGACCAATGGTGATTCAAGCATATTATTTGATTCATCAATTCAAGGAAAAAATCATGTAATATCGCTAGAAAAAAGCTCTAAATGACAAAGACATGGAAAACAGATGAGAGAATACCAACAAATACCCACGCAGTTAATCAACCAACAATGCTGATAGGAAATACTTAGATCCAAGTATTCCTATCGCTCCACGTGAAGAAAACAACAAGAAAGTTGCTGTTTTCTACAGGAAATCAGCCCCAAACGTATGAAGCCTAACAAATGCATCTAACACATCAGGAATGGCATGGATGGTTCAGTCAAGGTAATGAAAAACACATGCCCGAATTCATTAAATAATGATCAAATGTAGCTTAAAGTGACAGAATTTACCAATTTTCCAAATGCCATAACAAATAGCAAAATTTTGATAAGTAAAAGTTGAAATAAGAAAGATAAACTCTCTAATACTAATCCTATCTAAATATAAATTAATATTTTCTTTAAGCTAAAACATTTATAAAAACAGAACGCTGCCAGAAAAACCTCAAGTTTTAAATAGGAGCTGTCCCCCACCAGTTACCACCCGAAAATCAGCAGCTACGTGACATGATAGTCCGAACATCTTCTAGGCCCGAGAGATATGTAGCCTGGGGGGTTGGGGGCTTAATATTTACATAGCTCAAACCAGCCACGTCAAGCCAAAATTTCAGTTTCAAACACAAATTTCGAGTCACAGTACATTCTACACTGAACAAAATGTGCAAATAAATGAACTCAAAACCTATTCTACATCAACAGAGCACCCATTTTATGTTTAAATAACCAAAAAAGTAATCATTTTCACAAAGAAGAGCAATAATCTCAACAGAAAACACATCTCCAGCTGGAAGCGTTTAGAACTTAAGGAGAATAGGTACACCATCACTCTTTGCATTTCCCTTTTTTTTGCCAATCATCCTATTAATCTTATCTTTGTAACTTAAAAATACTTATTTTATCTGCAACCTCATTTCATTGTTGCTGTTCTAATCAGCTTCACTCTCATTGCTGCATTGTAGGACCCTTAAATTGAAATATGCTACCCTTTTCTTGCACTTTTCAGAGCCACAAGCGATTCTCCTCATTTTCAATTCTCTCTCTCCTCTCCATGGTGTTCTCATTTTGAACTATAACATAAATCTTTTTGACCTGCTGATTGAAGTCAAATTCCACTGAATAATTGGACCATATGCTTCGCAAGAACTAAGCACTAATTTGGAATTCACTAGGATCATATCAGTACACCGTAATAGTATAAAAAAAATTTGGACCAAAATGAGTAGAGAAATTTTGAAATCATAGGATTAATGCTTTATATTTTTTTGTTATACATTCATTAGTTGGAAAAAAAGTAACTAATGCCAAAGGAAAACATGTTGAAGAGTACCCCTGTATTAACGGTAGACCATATAATCATTTGGGTTGTTCGTATGCACTTAGATTTCTTCTGGTTAACTAGACTGCCCGAAATCCTTGCATACAAAATAGTGACACCTAGAACAACTATTGTGTGGGAAAAACACTCAACTGGACTACTAAAGCCACAATAGGTTACCACATACAAAATGGATTGGATTTAGAGCATGTACATAATACATATCTCTAAATACCCAGTCCAAGGACCCAAGAGCGCCTACAGTGTTGTTAGGCTGTCAAGCAAATCTCTATTACTAAAACTTCATCTAATTTTCCAGGCATGGTCATGGTAATAACATTTTTTACAAAATCGAATGTATTATAAGTTTAACACCAAGCAGCATTTGGTTATTTTGTTTCAGGCAACTATACTGCCAATTTGAAAAGCAACAAACTATATGTACAGCTAAGCTGAAGAATCATCAGAAACTATAATAAACAAGCATAACAAAATGATAGACATTTCTCCCACAAAAGCAAGCTGTAAATAGGAATTACAATAAATTGCAAACAATCTTCAAACCAGGAATGTGAATTTCAACATTTTTTGTTCACGATTCACGAATATAAAGAAAACAGCCAAAAACGTTATTCATGAGAAACTTTGAGCGTATGAGATAGACTCAAGAACAATCCCACATGAGACATGACAAACCATAGAACTATTTGCTTCCATCTGAAGTAATGCAACCAAACAAGAGTCCCGGCCACGGTTTTGACTAGAAACCGTAAAATAATACCATGCAAATGATCAAACATCCATTAACGTGAACCAAGGATTTCAACAAACAATCATCCTGTCCAAAAACTTTTAGGGTCAATATAATTAAATTTATTCATAAATTGCATGGAAGAATGAATCAATTATAACCTTATTGATACATACTTCGACCAGTTGTCTAACACCTAAAGGCATGGTTGCACAAGTATTAAAATAAAAGAACTAATGTTAAAGAATAAAGATGACGATATAATAATGTGTAGTCCTAGATCTAACAAACTGAGATTCAAAGTAACTAGAATTGATGCATCATCTTAGAGAAAAAAAAAAGAAAAACAAATGTAAGCCTCACTTCAGTTCGCTAGAATCTCCCCACCATGGATTTAAAGGAATGTTAGTTAACCTAGTCAAACAACACTTTCAACCAGTTCTTTTTGACAAAAATCCGCTATTGGACGCTTATCCCATATTTATAAAGCTAAATGTAGCTAATAAATAGCAACCTACTAATCCTTTATCTTCACCAAAGCTTAAATTCGGACATCATATGACACATTGAGCCAAGATTACAACAATAGAAGTGTCCATAGCTTGCAAGAGATGCATTGAGCAGGAGAGAACTTAAGGCAGGCTATTGAACTTTCAAAAAGAGTTTTTAAATATTTGCTTGCTGCAGAAATTTACACCATGGATAGCTATCTTACCACAAACAATGAGGAAAAGCTTGACAGTTGGATTTTAGATAAGCTAAGCTAATGCTCAATTCTTCTTGTCAAAGTTTTCATTGAAACATCTTCAATTTAAATTCAGGATGACAAAGAAAAAAGTGACCCTAGCTCTGCATAAGATGAGTAGGAAAACCAAAAAATGTAAACAGAACGTCAAAAAGAATAGCTGCCTTTACATTATTTAATCCTTTGTTCAGAAAATTCCCTCAGTTCTGCATTAAATGAATTCCAAAATGAGATACTGTTCTACCTTCACTAAAGTTCCTCTAGATCTTGGTCTAACATAAAAAAACTCCAATTACAGCCATTATAAATCGAAAAATCTTTGAATGCGAGCAGACAGATGTATTAGAAAAGAATAAAATGATAATCAAAATATGATGTACCATTTAGATAAAAACAATGATGCTTAAGATGAAACAGGTTTTTCTACGTTAGGGGGACAAAAAAATGAACTATTCTAAAGCAGGGTAATCAAATTAGAGAACAGGAGCTGAGGAGTCCTTTAGGTGTCATTAGAAATGATGATAATTAGTGCCAAAATAACCAAAATTTGAAAGGAAAAAAAAAAGAGAATTTGTTCCATTTGAATCATGAACGTGCAAAACTCAAATTACTACATAAAAATGGCTTTGGCAACAACAGCTTCCATTAAAAGAGTAGGTAGTATTTAATAAAAAAAGGTTACATAAGTGAAAGATAGTGAAGTCCCAAACAAATTTAAAAAAAAAATAGTAGTCACTATACAAATGAAAACTTACTGATTGCTGAAGCTTACATACAAATAATACAAAAACCTAGGAGGCCATACCTTTTTGTGTTCCCACTTGGAAGGAATAAAACGCCTCTTTGGTTCGGGTGCATTAGAGAGTGGATGTCCTTTGTCCTCCCAGTCAAACCAATCAACGTATGGCTGAAAGAATAATATGTTTGTCACCACAAAATCATGGATTTTCTTACTAACAACATTAAGCTTATTCAGTTTAGCATGTGGAGCCTTTCCTATATAAGGATAAAATTGAAGTGAACTACTAATATACTTAAAAACTTGAAATGGGATGTAGCTGTGTGTACAAACCGCATAGGGATCCACTTCAGTATGAGGGGTGCTACCCTGCAACAAGCGTTTGATAAGCTTCATCTCCTTCTTTGTCAATTCTACTTCTTCATCATTGTATTCATCATAAATTTTCCTCCTATTTTTAAACAAAAAAATAAGATTAAAGAAGGGGAAACTATATCCTGTATATTAATCTAAATAGCCAGTACACTATAAACAATATTTCAAGTTGTTCTAAACATAATGAACAATTGAAGAAATAAGTAGCATCAAAATTAATTTTTAAGGAAAATTTTAAAAAACTGACATGTTAACTTTTTTTTTGGTGGGGTTTGGGTTGGGGAGGGGGGGGGGGACCAAAAAGGTCCATTAGTTAAAATGGTTAATAATATAAGCATAGTTCTTCGACAGAATTCAGGACATCTAACAAAAACTGAGATGTATTTAATCAATATTTTCTTCATAACTCCAATTCAGCTGATGTGCAACCTACCTTTCAAGTGATCTGAGGTTATCTAGGTGATAAGTCCTGTGCAAGTAAGCCATACACCTTAAGATTTATCAATCATAGTTATGTGGTTTTATATGTAAAAGAGGAAAAGCCAGAAAGGAAAAGATGAAGGACAAAGCTAACGAAGTTAAAGATTACATGCAAATCTTGAAAAGAAATGTTATGTGTTATGGTATTCATATCAATCCTTTCCCTGAGAAACCAACAAAAAGAATTAAAAAAACACATTAATATATAAATGTGTTATGCTTATCATGGCAAAAACTGATACACAACTAACCCTGAGAGTGAAGCAATGCTAAAGAATAGTTAAAATCAAGTTCATGAATACATCCAGCAGAACTGGACGAATGATGTTCTAAGAATCTGAGCACAGCGAAGTTTAGCAGCAAAATAACTTAAACTGTATCTTCAAAGATTGTTGGGAGCATGGGCGGAACCACTACAAGCTTAGGGGGGGCAATTGCCCCCCCTAAAAAAAAAAAAAAAATTATAGTAGAGTAAAAAAAATTTTTTGCAAAAAATTTTTTGCCCCCCCCCCTCAAAATTGAAGCTGGTTCCGCCCCTTTGGGAGGTTATGATTACAAATGCTAGACAATCCCATGGAAGGCATACTTGATGTGATTTATTTCAAGGGTTCAAGGATATGTTAGACCGGTCCAGGGTGGACCACGGCTCATGTATACACCAGGCAGAACAAGGGTTCCGCCCAGTAGGGGGCCGGATTCTGTGGTGGGGCCAAGCAGTCAATTAAACATTAATTAAGGATGGGTTTGGGAGGAAAAATTCAAAAGGGGCTGTTTAGGGATTAGGTAATTATGTTTTGCTTTAAGTAGATTTTTCTCCCTAAGGTTAAGGTTATGTTCTGGATTTGAAGAACCTGTATTTCTCTTAGAGTTTGCTTGGGCCCTAGTCGCCAGCTAGGGATTCGGAGAGCCGGATCTTCCTATCGAATTGAAGATCCATTGTATCTTGTTTTTTTTTTTCTCCCATATTTCAGTAATTATCAACTTTTCCTGATGATTTGCTACCAATTTCCCGAAAAGTTCTGTTTCTTCTTGCTGAAATTCCAAATTTAAGGAAAGAATTGTTCAATTTTTGCAAATATTTCCTATCAAATTGATATTAGAGCGCTTTCTTGGACGGAAAAAAAAGTTATTTTCGTTGTTTTTGCGATTGGAGCCTACATCCAATTAATGGAAGCAAAGAAGATGGAAGCATTGGAGAGCGAGATGGAACAACTCAAGGTTGGAGTAGAGGAAAAATATTATGGGGTGAGAGGGAAGACTCTCAGTCATCGAGAACCGCTTTGGAAACTTTGAAGAGATGATGATAAAGACGCTCGAGATTCAATTGAAAGCATCACCAGCAATTTCTTAGGTGGAACCACGAGGAAAGGATATCCAAGAGGACGACGATGAATTGGAGAGTGTTAACCATCAAAGATCGTCACATGGGGCCCAGTTGGTGGGCGGATTGAGGTATTCCGAGGGTAGGACAGCAAGGAGGGAAGCCGAGCCCTTCGGAAGACTACCCGGGCATGGGGAGAGATGGAATGGAGAAGGGCATGGTTGGGGGGGAGCCATGGGGGTCAAAGTCAACCAAGAGAGGAATGAAGGAAATCACACCACCACTACATCAGAGGAATCAATGGAGGAAGGAACCATGGGAGTATGGATGCAAGAGCAATGAGGCTAAAAATGTTGGCCTTTGAAGAGGATGATGCTCAGGATTGGGTGTACTGGACGGAACGTTACTTTGCCACCAACGAGCTAATTGAGGGGAAAAACTCATGGCGGCGGGTCTATGTTTGGAAGAGAAAGCCCTAGTCTAGTTCCAAAGGAGGGAGGTTAGGTATATGATCTACTCATGAGGAGAATTTAAGGAGTGCTAGTTGAAACATTCCCGAGCCATTTGGGAAGGAGACATCCACAAGCAATTCTATACCCTAACTCAAGAGGGGACAATTATGGAATACCGGGAGAAGTTTGAGGTACTGTCGGGGAGACAGGGGAATCTCTAAGGAAGGATTAGAGAGGAATTTCATGAAGGGCTTAGGGAGGACATACGGCAGAACTCAGAGTACTGAGGGCCTGAGGCCTAGGGGCTTGAGGGACATAATGGAGCTGGCTCAGAGCAATGAGGAAAAAATGTAAGAGGGAGAATGCCAGCACAAGCAACAACATGGGAGGGCCCTATCGAAGTACCCCTAGAACTCTAGCTAGGGGTGATAACGAGAGGAGTCGAGCTCGAGTTAGGGGGTGTTCAAGCTCGACTCGTGAGTCCAATACCAGGCTTAAACTCGAGCTCGACTCATGACAATGAAACAGGCTCATTGAGTAGCTCAAGTTTGCCCGCCGTTTGAATTTGTGAGCCTCCGGCATCTTTCGCAACAGTCGCGTCCGTGGTTACGTACTCCCGTCGGACGGTCTTCCGCATGCGACCACCTCAAATGAACGGTTTTTCGCACGCGCATGTCGGAGGTCTTCCGCACACGCACGTCGGACGAACTGCTCAAAACCTCGAACTGTAGAACCTGTTATTTTTCGCAGGCAGCAAGTACAGACCGCCTCAAGCCACGTGATCTCCTCGAGCATTGTGAAGCTGACCGCCTCGAATTCGAGCAAGATTAGGCATGATTGCAGAAAGATTAAAACATTTAGTTTAATTTTTATGCGGGATTAGGCAAGTAACGCAGGTTCAAATTTAATAAATAAAATAAAAGTATTTTAAAAATATTAATATTGAATCGAGCCAGCTTGCGAGCCGAGTCTCAATCAAGCTCGAGTTTGAGCTCGATAAGCTTGGCTCGCGAGCCATAAACGAGTCGAGCTCGAGCCGGTTCGGCTCACTTACACCCCTAACTCTAGCACCCATAACACAAATAATATCCTTCCAGAGAGTTCCTGGGCATAGGTGTACGAACCGAACTCTTCAGGTTCTCACCATATGTGATGACAAGGAACTTGAGAAGGGAGGTGGGAGTGAGACATCGGAGGAAGAAAAACTGCATTTATACATGGTTGAGGTCTCCTTGAACTCAATGGTGGGATTCACTATGAAAGTGAGAGGAGCAATAGCAGACAAGTAGGTGGTGGTCCTAATAGACTGCGGGGCTACCCACAATTTCATCACCAACCAGGTCGCAAACCAATTGGGGATGAACTGTTGGACACAGGGTGTTATGTGGTGATGATGGGGACTGGAAAGATGGAGACAGGTAGAGGGGTGTATAGGTGAGTGGTCTTGACCATGCAGTGGATTCATGTGAGGGAGGATTTTCTCCCATTGGAGCTGGGGAGCACTGATGTCATCTTGGGGATAAGATGAGATAACTGTAGATCTTGGAGGATACCGAGGTGAATTTGATGCGGACATCAGACCCTTAATGTTCCATCAGGGACGTGGCCGATGATCGACGGCAATGATGACGCCTTTTTTTTATTTCAATTATATGTGATGTATTTATTTATTTTCTGTCTTTTTCCATTTATGCCCTTGCTTAAGAGATTAGTTCTTTGTAAGTCCCGAGGGCATTGTTGTCTTTTATTTTTTCCTTCTTGTATTTGTCTATTTAAATCCCTCTTCTTCTTGGAGAAGGACTAATGAAGATTATTATGAAAATTTCTGTGTTTTACTATTGTGAGAGTTTGAGAGTTCTTGGAGAGAGCTTTGAGAAAGTCCCTTGGTGAAGGGCAACGCAATACCCACCAACCTTGGAAGCGTCCGGGTTCGTGGTTCTCTTTTCCCTATCTTCTTCTTTCACCCTTACTCCCACATCCTTTTCATCCCCTAGCTTCCCCACTTCATATCCAACCTCCACCAAAATTATCAAAACCCGACGGCAAGCAATCAACCCACCCATTCCCTTCCTCTTGCCGCCGCCCCCACCAAGCCCCCTTTTCCGTTGTGATGATGATCTCAATCATCATGTTATCTTCCAATTTTAGTTGGGCTTGAGAGGGAAAATTGTAGTCAATTTGAAATTCAAATTTTAAATTTCAAAACTTTCCAATTTTGGAAATTTTTATTTAGGAAAGTTTTATTCATGACTTCAATTTAAATTTCAAACAAATTGGATGTTATAATAATTTTCCTAATCCACAATCCCTCTTTGGAAACTCCCCAAACCTTTCCCAAATCCCCTCCCTCTCTCTCT